GGAATGAGGCTTCAGACCCACCTAGGATTTGCTGCTTTATTTTTACTTCTTAAAGGGAAAGCAATCCTGTTCTTGGACTCCAGTGAGGAAGCAAGCCCCTTCACCTCTTTGTAGAAAATAGGTCCTTTATTTCTGAGACTGATACTTGCTGTCCTTATAAGTTTTAGAAGAAAACCTAAATCTTTTTGTTTGCTTGTTTTAATAAGTTATACAGAGAAATGTTTTAATAAGTTATACAGAGAAATGTTGTTAAGTATCGTCGAGTATTATAGGTGAGTTTCCAAGGTTTTTAAATCTTTGTGGGAGCAGAAAGCCTCATCATTCTCCTGCGCAGTGGTTTGCGAGCCACAGGCTCGAACTGGAGACTTTGTGGGTCACAGTGCAGTGCTTATCTTATGCTCCCCACAAGCAAATGGCCCCTATCATATTAGCTATAAAGCTCTTCACACCCACCTTGATATCATGTATTCCCAAACGGGTGAAGTTAATCCTTATTGTTGTTGTTAAGTGCCGTTGAGTCGGTTCTGACCCATAGCGACCCAGTATAGGGTTTCCGAGGAGCGGCTTCTTCAAACCGACATTGCAGTCCAGCGCATTAATCCACAGTGACACACCAGGACTCCATTAATCCTGGAGCCCTCCCAAACCAGTTGCCATCAAGCAAACTCTGACTCATGGTGACCCCTGTATGCCAGAGTGGAAGTGTACTCGGCAAGTTTTTCAATGACTGATTTCTCAGAAGTCGATGGTTAGACCTATATTTCAGGTGCCTTTGGATGAACTCAAACTTCAAACCTTTTAGTCAGTAACAGGGATTCCCTGGAACCCCAGGAGAAGACTGGATAATATCAGTCTGGATAAAATTGAGATAAAGATGAACTGATTAAAGGATTACCAGGGCCAAAGTGTCTGCAGAGTTCACACACGTACCCTCTGCAGCAGCTGCTGCCACATGCTCTGCATGTTCCCAGAACAGGAAACCAAGCGAGGATTTTGGGGAACCTAAGCCCAAATCATAAAATGGTGAACCGAAAGGTCAAAGCACTTAAGGGGTTAGACCCTGTAAAAGCATCACATACTGCGAAGCAGGGGGTTTGATATGAGCCTGCTGGGGAAGAAGGATTCACTGGCATTGAGGATAGTTCCTTGGAGGGAGAACCTGAGATCCTTTTCTAGAGTGAACTGAAGGTTGCCCCTCTGTTTATTGCTGTTTGTGGAAAATTGATCCTTTGGCTTACCAAAAAAAAAAAAACAAAAAAAAAACCCCACAACCCTTCAGCACAAGAAATAGATCTTTCACATTTTGTTCCCCACAATGTTTAAGTCAATACATAAATCAAGCAAGTCCTCACCATACTTTTTGGTTGACTGATGATGATCCATTAGTAGAGGGCAGTTTCTGGGCAATTTTCCCAATTATCAGTCTCCTTTCTTTGAAGTGAGAGCTCATGCCAAGAGCACCAAGAGGCAAATGGGAAGAAATAAAATAAAAACAATGGGAAGCTTAGGGAAAGACTTTATGGAAATAGGAACCAAAAAGAAGATACATTTTATGAACAATTATGAGAATTCATGATGTTTATCTAACTTACCTTTTTTTGTTTATCTATTAACTAGTTATTGCAAGTATAGTGCCAAACATGAGACTAGGGCCTGGGGAATATTAAAAAATTGTCCAAGTCACTGTCCTCAGACCTAGGGATGATACAACCTGTTAGAAGGCCTCATAAACTCAGTGCCGCCATCTTTGTTTTCAGAATTAGACATACCTCTTATGTGGGTCTCACTTTGTGTAGTACAAATCTTTGTGTCTTCTTCCCTAGGTTGTCAAATCATCCCATCATTGTTCTATGCTTTTATATTAAATGGTATTTGTCATATAGCCAATGCTTTAAACAAGTTTGAGCTGAATTAAGTTGATGCTAAAAACAGTTGAGCAATGTAAGACAATTACTGAGTAAGCAAGTGTCAGAAACCTGAGCACTATATAGAATTCAGGGAACACAGTTCACTGGAGTATCAAAGACCTGGACTGGTGGGCTTCTAGAAGGAAATGGGTGTTTCAGACAGGAAAAGCTACATCAACAAAGGTGTGGAAACAGAAGAGATTGGGCCACAGAGGGTGGTGGTAGAAAATTGGCATGAAGTTGAGAGAATGGTTTAGAGGACATGAAACCATTTGTGAGTTTGGGAACTGCATAATAAAAACTAAGTGGGAGGATGTGTCAGGCATGTGGGCTTAATTAGAGAACTTTGGGACTAGAAACAGGGATGACATCAATTAGACTGTGGTGAGTAATGTGAGTGTTTAAAATAAGGACGTGGCAGTAGAATTAGGCCTGAAGTCTTAAAAGAAGTTTAAAAGGAGGCCCATTCTGTGGTCACCACTCAGGTATACAGGATAAAGACAAGATGTGCAGTACCCAGGATGACATCCAGTATTTCAGGCTAGTCTTTTGCTGAATAACATAGTTATTCTAATGGGTATAAATGGTTCCTGGCTCCTTACCAAGATGGCTGTAAAGGGCCTGAAAACATATGTTGAGGGCCCAAGTGCTGTGGCCTTTGGAGTTGGACCTTTTTAGATGCTGGCCAGTGGACAAATTATTTAATGAATCTTTACTTTTGTTTCTGTTTGTGGGTAAAGTAGTATTTCACTGTGGAATTAAAAAGCTTAAATTGGAATTAAGGGAATATGTTTGAAATGTAGCAGGTACACGGCAAATCCTAGTTTAACTATCTCGCCACTTTCAAAACCCCAAAATTTTATGCCTATCTTAAACCACTATATTATTTTTGCCTGCAAGCAAGGAAAACAGAAAACAAAACACTCAACTTTTTTCCTTATGGTTAAACATCACGTACAAACTACTCACTCAGAACCAGATGTCACAAGATAGAAAGTGGCTTCAAACCAAAACCAAACCATTGTTGTTGAGTGGATTCATAACCTATAGAAAGAGCAGAACTGCACCAAAGTGTTTCCAAGGTTGCAAATCTTTAGTGAGACTGCCATATTGTTCTCCTGCAGGGAACCTCTGACTTATCTGTTAGCAGCTGAGCACTTTAACCACTGTGCCACCAAGATTCCTGTGAGTGACTTCAAGGTTGCTTAATTTAGTAACTTAGCTGACATCATCAAGGACTCCAGGTCTCTTCCCTTATTTCTTTTCTGCCTTTCTCAGCTGTAGACTTTAGATTGGATTGCTCTCTTTACAGCCACAAGTTGGCTGCCCCAACTTTCCAGACATTTCGGGGAGATATGATAACACCCACTTGTCTTAAAAGCAAGAATGCTTTCCTTTTCCAGAAACTCTTCTCTCATGTTTTCTTGGCCAGAACTTGACTGCATACTCACCCAACACCACACACTGGCAAGGTGGGTGAGCACCATGATGGTAAGATTAATTGGGAGTTACTCCTGAGTCGTGTGAGAACAGGAATTATCTGCTGGGTAGCCAGTGGTTCTCAGATGGAATGCATAGGAATCACCTGGGCATCTTTTAGATTCTGATTGAGTCTGGGGTGGGGATTCTGCATTTTAACAGGCTCCTAGAGGATGCCACTTCTGCTGTGGGATTGATTGCTGACCCTTTGAGTAAAAAGGGGAAAAGTGATCAGGAAAGTAAGCTGGAAAGCCTCCTTCTCTGCCACTTTTCTGGAACACTGTTCTAATCTTGGTTCCGCCTATTTGCTGGAGCAGCTGCTTTAATGACAAATGACCATTCAATTTACAAAGCATATTCCTTACACCATTGTTTTTTTAAATATTTTTTCCCTCATCTTCATATGACAAAGTAAAGCTTAGAGAGGTTACTTAAGGATCACATAGCTACCTAGGGAGAGACAGACAGCCTTGGAAATAAGGTTTTCTCAACTTCGTCTCCTCAGTTTGCTATGGCCTTCTTTAGAACTCAGTTTTCCGTTTTCTGTCCCTTGTCTGAAAATCTTGATCACCCTAGATGGAGGTGCTACTCTCTTAAGTGTTTTGTGTACTACCTCATTTCACAGATTGGTTAGATGATTTACCCAAGACCACACCATTAGTTAATTGTTGAAGCTACATATCAATCCAGAGCCAATGAATCAGACATGCCATTCATGTCTCCATCTTGCTAACGAACAGTAACAGAACAGCCCCAGTGCTAAATTTCTAATTAATACTATTTTTCCTCCTTCTTTACAGGGTGTTTCTGCGGCCTGGGACTGGTTAGCACCAACAAGTCCTGCTCAATGCCACCCATCAGCTTCCAAGACCTCCCCCTCAACATCTACATGGTCATCTTTGGCACAGGCATCTTTGTCTTCATGCTTAGCCTCATCTTCTGCTGCTATTTTATCAGGTGGGTAGAATGCTGGTTGACCTGGGGTGGGGTGGGGGAATCAAGGTAGGGTAAGTTGAATGAGGCTTCCACTGTAGAGTTACTTGGCCTCATTACTCCTGGAACCACTTCTTTGAGGACATGGCTTAGCTTGTCCTTCTCTGGGCCCCTGAGGCCTGGTGTTTCTATTTACATCAGCCTATCAAGTTGTCCCAGAGCATATAAGGTCACCGTGTGCTGGGCTGCATCCCACTTTCTTGGCTGGTTATTCTAAGGCTGTTGCCTAGAATTACTGTCTAACCAAGGCTTCTTGTAATACAGCTGATGTTCATTTAACTGTCTTTAACTCTTCTACCCATGCCCTCTGGGTGACCAGGAACAAGACAGATGGGCATCAGTTACACCAGCGGTATGTTCCTTTGCCCTCCTGGGAAATAATGTTGTCAACCTTCCCGATGCTAATATTAGCAAACTGATGTCTGGAGAGCTGCTTGTTTATCCTGCCTTGTGAGTTCTTATTTTTGTGAGTGAAAAAAAGAGAGAGAGAGAGAGAGAATGCCACTTATTCTAAATTGCTTAGAGATCCAGCAAAGGATTTGAGGTTGGCAAAGGTTATGAAACTCCAGGGACTATTTCTTCACCTTCTGTTGAAGGACATGGGAGCTGATAGCTATTTTCTTTAGAAAATTTGGGTAGTGTTAGGGTAGAAATCAAAATAGTGTTTCGTACTGGAGGTGCTGTTGACATTGGCAATTCTTCGTTGTATGGAACTACCCTGTACATCCAAGGAGTGTTAAACACCTTGTCCATTAGAACATTAGAATATGCTAGTAGTTCTCACTAAGCAAAAGGCACAGTGAGCAAATCCTATTTTTACTGCATGAATCCAATTCCCAAAATGCAGACATGAATCCAGTCTTTACTTTCCCACCTCTGCATCCTCCCACCAGTCACTAGCACAGCACATTTTCCCTGCCCATAGCCACCCAGGCCTGGGTCAGAGTTCACAAGTTTAGAAGGACACCTTCTTTCAGGTTGTCATTTAGGTAGACACCAGCCCCTGCTGGCTCACTGCGCCGGTGAGTTCATTAATTTGTTGGAACATTCACAGACTTCAGAGAGAACATCATATTTAATGGCTACAGCTTGACCACAGCCAAAAAGGATACAAATGAAGAAATGCATGGTGAGGTTTGGGAGAGATCACAATACAGAGCTTCCATGTCCCAATGACGTGCACGCTCTCCTCTCTCTCCCTGTATAGTCACTAACCTGGAATCCCCTGCTGAACATCAGGTTCAGAGCTCATAATCAGCCTCACCACATAGATTACATCATTCCTCATGTGGTTACACTCGGAACCCCAGGTGAACCTTCTTGGTGTGGTCAGACCTTGCTCATTGGCTTCATGTGCTGGTTGGGCAGTTGCTTTCTGCAGGTGATGCCACAATTCAAAAGTTCCCTAGAACCCCTGTGAAAACTCCCTCTCTTCCAAATGTCTGCGTGAGAACCATCAGCTATAGTTTAGACCAATGTTGAGTCAAGTCCTCTAAGATGCAACAATTAAGTGAAAGTAGCCCTGGATCTTGAGTGAGTAGTCCTGGACTCTTCTTCACTGACCTGCTGAATTTGAGTGTTTCAGATAGAAGGCAGATAGCTAAAGGGAAGGCCTGTGCTTGTTGATAACGTCTAAGACTGGAAGCAGTCTTTGTAAGAAAGGGAAGTACCCTTGGGCATTGCTTCAGGGCTTCTCAATCAGTTACCTTTGACCTCTTCTGCTAGAGAACTTTTCAAACCACTCCCTGGGACTAGAAGTCTTCACTTAAATGTCTGTGCAGAAGATTGTGGTTTATTTTCCCCTCTTGTACAATTGAGTCTGAAATTTGCATAGTTAGTGAAGGTGAGGACCAACTTCTGGTTTGATATCTCTCCCACTATCCCACCTATTGCCCTTTATCAGATCTGAGTTTTCCATCTCAAACTCTTCTGTCTTTCTGCCCCACCCCCCACCTCCAATCAAGCAATTCATGCAATTTGCCAGAGACTGAAGATGGAGACCTACCAAAGATTGATTTATGTTGAGGCTAGGAGGAGTCTATAAAAACCAGCACTATTTGGTTCTTTCCTCCACCCCCACGGCCCCCACACACAGGCACACACATGCCAAGCTGCAAAGGTAGCCAAGAGAAAAAAAACCTAGAAGAAACCATTCTGGTCCAGGAAGCAGATAATCAGGGTTTATTTCCTAATTCTGCCACTAGCAGGTTTTTTAGCTCCTTTTTACAAAATGCCTTCTGCGGGCTAGACATTATGGTCTACATTTTGAAAAACAGTTCATTTAATGCTCTGAACAACTCTCCAACTTAGGTTAGTCAACTTTACAGATCAGGAATTCATGCTCAGACAGTTAAGAACATGCTCCAGATCAGATATAGCAAGGAAAACAAATGGGCTAACCTGGTAACACTCCAAGTTTTCCAGGTACCTTCCATATGTTTGTCCTCTATGATTCTTACTCCTTGAATGGGAGGTGGGGGAGCAACTATGCCACCCATCACCACGACTCACAATTAGGGGTTGGAGTTCTGCAGAAAGAACAGGTTGGAGAACTGTGTATTGCTGATTTCATATTTCTCTTTGGCTGGAGTACAAGAACAGAGCAGTAACCATATGATACCAAAAGCTACCCCTACTGTGGCAGTGCCCAGTACCACCTGTCCCTTCTGCAGTAATCTGTTCCTTCATCGCCCTGCCCTCTGTGTGCTATAGCCAGTTGATCCTGAGAGTTTCATAGTTCCAGAGACCCGCTGGTATGTGACAGCCTGTGTGTGACTATATATAGAAAGATACACAAGCACAGAAGCCACTTCCTCTCCCTCCTTCTCAGTTTCCTCCTCAGCCAAAATTGGCCCATGACCACTGCTCCCCGACCTGGTGAGCTCATCGACCAAGGCCAGTCTCCACTCCCAGCTCCCCATTGCTCATTCTTTTCTCTTGTCTCAAAGTAGGCCTTTGCCCTACACAGGATGGAGGGGACAGTGAAGTAGGAATTGGCAGGAAAAGAATGATTATTTTCAGGACCTGCTGCATTGTTTGTTTCAAAAGGGAACAAGGGAGAGCCCCACTGGCAGTGACTAGAAATGGTCTAATTGAAATCAGGGTATTTTTAGTTGGTTTGCGCCAACAGCTGAGAAAACCACCTGTCCAAGTTGCTGGCACTCGCTCCTCAGCTGGAGAGCCTGTAGTCTTTACTTTTTGCTCCGTTTCCTTTGCAAACTTTTTGGCCCCATTTCATCACAATCTATGCCTCCCTGAGGGGTGGAGTTTTTTAATGGACTCCTCCTAGCCTCATTATAAATAAATCTATATACAGTATGGTGGCTCCATAGGATAAGCACCAGACTGCAGACTGCAAAGTCAGCAGTTTGAGCCCACCAGTTGTTCCTTGGAAGAAAGATAAGTCTTTCTGCTCCGGCCAAAGATTTAAAGCCTCAGAAACCCTATATAGGAAACCTTATACAGTGTCATTATGAGTCAAAACAGACTCAACATCACTTAACTCAGCCTTATTGGAATCCCTTCCCTGTGCTGAGTCCTGGCCTATGAGAATCAAGGCTTCTGAACGATTCTTAGCTAAGACCATTAAAGGGGAAGCCAAGCAGGCCATTAAAGGGGGAGCCAGGAAGACAAGTATGAGGGTGGGGGAAGAGTGAGCCCTAGGCAGACGTTAACAACAAAGTATAGCACACACTACATAATTATAGCTATGCTGCAGATGAGGCAATTGAGACTCAAAAAAGATGTGTGACATTCCCTAGTTTTTCCAGATAGAGTCTGAAAATGGCTCTTGACCACTCCCTTATTTGCTGTATGTTGTTGCCGTTGAGTTAGTTTCAACTCATAGCAGTCCTGCGTGGGGTTTCCAAGGAGCAGCTGGTAGGTTTCCACTGCCAACCTTGTGGTTCACAGTCCAGTGCTGATTCTACTTCTTAATGGAGTAATGGTACCTTTCTCCTTCAGAAAGTGGCTGTAAACTCTCTAACAACAACCAGAACACTGTCTTCCATCCCCAGGTAGGTGCTCATTTAGGCATTGCATGCATCCTGCCCTGTCCCTCTCATTTGCAGGTATATGCTTTTTCTGTACCAAAAATTCTCTACAAAATTAAAGATGTAGGCTAGTGGTACAGGTACACTGGTACGATTTTTAGCCCAACTCATTGAGTGAGCAGGAAAGATGTAGAGGTGAGAAAGAGTTGAGGGGTTATATGTGGATGTGCAGCCCTAGCCAAGAAAGCCAGCTATGGCAGGATTCCACTTGGTCTGGAGCTCTTGGGAGGCTCCAGGAACAGGCCTTTGCCAGGTCTCCTGACTTCCTATTAGGAGTGATTGAGGGCTGGCTGGCTGTCTTATCTGCTCCCTAACCTGGGCATTGGGGACGGACTCAGCCCCCACCTTCTGCCTGGTCCACCACTTACTTGACTCATGTAGCAGTTTCAGTGTCTCTGGTTCTACCTGTGCCTTATCTTACCCCCTTGATTAGGGCTTTCAATAATTAGAGGTTCTTTTTCTCTAACTCAGATCAACAGTCTTTTGCCAGATCATAAATACTTTAAGTTTTGCAAGAGTTACAGCCTCCATCAGCCTTCTTCAACTCTACTGTTAGGGTTTGAAACCAAGTCGTAGACAATACGTAAGTGAATGGGCATGGTTGTGTTCTAGCAAAAGTTTACGGACACTGAAATTTGAATTTCGTATAATTGTCACACATCATGAAATGTTACTCTGTTTTGTTTTTTTGCCAGCCATTTAAAAATAAAAAACAGTCTAATCTTGTGGGCCTTGGAAAAATAGGCAGTGAGCCAGATTTGACCCTCAAAGCCATAGTTGCCAACCCCTTTCTAACCTGGTGGGTTTCTGCTGCTTTTTCCAAATAACTCCAATTTGTTTAGAAATGGTAAGTAGGAGAGAAAGCCCCATCTGTCTTCTTTTTTTTTTTTCTCTTTTCAATTTCCCCCTCTACTTAAATTAACAAATGTCTGCCCTTCAGCCAGTTTCTTATAGCCCATGTAGTTTAAAAAAAAATGATTTTTGTCTAATAATTCTGACTCTTAGTGAGCCTGTTTATCACAGAGTACAACAGTTCTATAGGGTTTTCTTGACTGTAAGATTTTTACAAAAGCAGATTGTCAGATGTTTTCCCACAGTGCTGCTGGGTGGACTTAAACGGCCAACTTTGGGCCACGGGGGCCTATTATAGCTCATGTAAACCATACCAAACCCAACCCACTGCCACTGAGTCAGTTCCAACTCATAGCAACCCTCAGACAGGGTAGAACCGCTCTTTAGGCTGTCTAAGACTGTAAATCTTTAAGGGAAAAGACATCATCTTTTTTTATGCCGAGCGACTGGTGGGCTTGAACTGCTGACCTTGCAGTTAGCACTCTAGTACTTATTCTACAGTACCATATAAGCTTCCTGTAAAATTGTGAAAGCAAAAGTGAAAGTTTCCCCTACTTGAAATCTTAAAGTAACAAAAACACAATGCATAATCATAGTGCTAACCACTTGCATTGTGGACTTGATAAAACACAGGGTACTTCCTGAAACCAGTTCATATTCTCAGAACTGTGTAGCTTGAGGAAAGCTATAACCTAATTGGTGGAGCACTGAGAGACTTTGAGTCAAATCCGGACTCTGTTGCCAACTAGCTCTATGAAGTCTGGGCAAGATAATCAACTCCTAGGCTTCAGATTCCTCATCTATATATAAAAAATTCACCTTCCTCTAAAGAGTTTAGGATTTAATGTAAACAGGAGTGATCGTAGTATAGAGTCTAATACATAGCAAGTCCTCAGTAACTGTTATGGTCTCGCTGTTAATAACCACATGCTGTGTTTTGGCTATTGAGGCCTTATGCAGGCCACCAGTTTAAAAGGAAAAGAGGGAAACAAAGAAGGGACCATGTGTGTTTATCTGGCAGTATGAAGGGAAGAGTGTGCTTTGATTTCAGAATACTTGTATTCTCTGGGTGGAAAATTCCCGAGAGTCAACAGAGACTATTTGTCCTGCTACCCAGGCTTAATGGAAATATCCCTTGTCAAAACATTTTACTCCTGTGGCACTGTGGGATAAAGCACTGGACCGCAAGGTCTGTTTGAATCATGAGGTCAGCAGTTCAAACTCACCAGCCACTCTTGGAAACCTTATACAGGTTCACTATGAGTCGGAATCAACTCAACGGCACTTAACAATAACAGCATATGGACCCCAAGGAGTCCTGTTGTGATGCTGTAGGATAAGAACTAGACTGCCAACCACAAGGTCAATGGTTCAAACCTACCAGTTGCTCCTCAGAAACCCTATACATAGTCACTATGAGTTGAAGCCGACTCGATGGCATTTAACAACAACATATGGACCCCCTAGGGAGTGTAATGACTCTGTAGGATAAGCACTGGATTGTGAGCTACAAAATTGGTGGTTTGAGCCCACCAGCTATTCCGTAGAAGATGGATGAGGCTTTTTGCTTCCACAAAAATTTAGAGCCTCGGAAACCCCATACAGGATCTCTGTGAGTTGAAACCAACTCAATGGCACATAATAGTAAGGACCCTTGCTGGTGTACTAGGTTAAGTTTTTGGCTGCTGACCTTAAGGTTGTTAGTTCAAATCTACCAGCTGCTCTGTGAGGAAAAAGATGAGGCTTTCTACTCCCATAAAGATTTACAGTCTCTGAAACCCCAGGAAACGGTCTTAATCTATCCTATAAAGTCACTGTGAGTCAGGATTTACTTAATAGCAGTGGGTATGAACCATGGTTTGGCACTATAGGATAAGCAGTGGACTGCTAACCAAAAGGTCAATGGTTCAAGTCCACCACCCTATACAGGATTGCTATACAATCCTATACAGAACCCTCTACAGAACCAATTTGATGGCACTTAACAATAACCGAGGAGCTCTGGTAGCATAGTGGTTATGAGTCGGGCTGCCGACCTCAAGGTCAGCAGTTCGAAATTATCAGCAGTGCTGCGGGAGAAAGATGCGGCTTTCTGCTCCCGTGAAGATTTACAGCCTCAGAAACCCTGTGCAGGGTCACTATGAGTCAGAACTCACTCCATGATACTTAACAACAACAACAACATGTGCCCCTAATGGCACAATGATTAAATACTGGGCTGCTGACTAAAAGGTAGGCTGTTGGAACACACTCGTTGAGAAAAGACCCTATTGGGCTGCCCTGTAAAAACTCTACGGGCAGTTCTAGTCTTCCTATAAGGTCCTCTGTGAGTCGGAAGCAGCTCAGTACACAACAGTGATAAGCACCTTCTTTATACCCTGTAAGCAGATTTTTTTTTTTTTAAGTTTTTATTGTGAGGTTTACATGAGAGAATAAGCAGATTTTTTTAAATCAGTTTAGTTTGGATACCTGAAGAACTGTATCTGTTGTTGGGAAAGGGCAGGGAGAGTGAATGTGAGATGGTGTGTGGGATTTAGCAATAAAATAGGAGATTACCGAGCCTGAATCAATTCTTAGTCATTAATCAACTCTGAGTGACCTAAGTTCAACCCTACTGCGTGCTGTCTGGGACAAGCACCCTTGCCCCCAACAGAAGGCCCAAGTATCCAGCCAGCCCCTCCTACTTTGACATCGCTGGGTTTATGCAAAGGCATAGTAACTTGTTTTCTTGCCTTTTTCTATCTCCTTCAGCAAACTCCGGAACCAGGCACAGAGTGAACGATATGGATATAAGGAGGTAAAGTGCCAACGTTTCCCCTTTGCCCATCTTTAGGCCTCTACTACTTGCCTCCATAGGGAGGAAGAGAACAAGTTCTAGCTCCTCTGGCCTCCATTCTGACCTCCCCTTAGGCAAAGTCCATTTCCTGTCTTTGAGTCTGGCTTGTCCCAGGTAATACCTCACAGCCTCCACTTCACAGGGATTCCCACGGGGGTGCTGGGAGCTCCTTCTTTGGCTGATTTTACTCTAACCCTTTGAGGCCTCTGGTTCCTGTGGTTGGCTTCTTCTGACATCATACCTCCTCCTTTCTCCCTTGACTTTCCAGGTGGTGCTTAAAGGTGATGCCAAGAAGTTACAATTATATGGGGTGAGTATCCTAGGGCAGCATGTGGGCGGGTCCAGCAGGTAGGGCAAATGGCACCTTTCTCCAGCTCTCAGCCTGGGTGCTTTCAGGCATTTTTTCATTCCTTACCTTCATATCTCCTTTGGCTAAATAAAAGCCAAAGACTCATCCCAGCAGATAATATATAGAATTCATTATCTCTAGAACTGGCATAGTAAAAAAACAAAGGGATTCTAAATGGGCTTGCAGAAGTATGGACATTGAGCCAAAGTAGTGGATAATTGTTAAGCTGAGGGCTGTGGGGGAGGATAGTGACTACACCACTCCAATGAAAAACACAGGTGTCAGCTAATTTTTCAAGTCCTGATATTTCAGTAAAGAAAATAAAGTTTTTATGCCCTGCCTAAAGAGGAGGCACTGTGGTTAAAGTGCTGACTGCTAACTGAGAGGTCAGTAGTTCAAAGCCACCAGCCACTCCACATAAGAAATGGCAGTCTGCTTCTATACTGATTACTGCATTGGAAACTCTCTGGGGCGGCTTTACTTTGTTCCATAGGCTTGCTATAAATCAGAATTAACTTGTCAACAGTGGGGAGGATTTTTTTGTGTGTGAGTGTGAATTTAACTAGTGTAGGCATTCCTACATTTTCTCCTACTTCCCTCCTATCTCCCTACATAGTCCTCATTCCGTCAGTCCCCCTCAACTCTATTTTAGGCATAAGCCACTTCCTGTCCCTTTCTCATCCATGCCTTTGAGGTCACTTAACCCATTCCTCAAGGCTTCCTTCCATAACCACAGACACACCTGTCCTAGACAGACGGTGCTTGTGGTTGTCTGGCAGAGGGGAGGATCACAGATATCACTGATCATGAGATTGGCGAGACATGGTCTCATCCCATCCTTCTTGATATCCATTCTTATACCTTGGCAATTTCCAATGTTTTCTGAACTAAGTTATAAGCCAATTTTGTAGAACAGTTATTAAGGTGAAATTAGGGGGTTAACATATAGGAATATATGTTGTTGTTGTTGTTGTTATGTGCCGTGGAGTTGGTTCCGACTCATAGCGACCCTGTACAGGGTTTCCAAGGCTGTAAATCTTTACGGGAGCAGAAAGCCTCATCTTTCTCCCACGGAACAACTGGTAGTTTTGAACTGCTGACCTTGCGGTTCGCAGCCCGATTTGTAACCACTACGCTACCAGAGCTCAGGACTAGATTTAAAGAATATAACTGACCAAATACACCATCCCCCACCCCCCATCCTTATCTGCAGGTATTGCTAAGTGCCCTGTCGCCAAATGTACTAGGTTACCAAGGATCAAAATCAGCCTTCTAGAGCTAGCACTGTCCAGTAAAACTTTGTGATGATGGGAATGTTGTATATCTGCTCTGTTCATTATGGTAGCCACTAGCTATGTGAGGCTGTTGAGCACTTGAAATGCAGCTAGTGTGACTAAGGAAATACAGTTTTAATTTTGTCTTATTTGGGTTATTTTAAGTGCAAACAGCCACATGTAGCTAGTGATTATCATATTACCAGTTCAGTTTGTCTTTGTTCTTTAAATTATGGTTTGGATGCAAGTGTACAGAGCAAATTACTTTTCCATTGAACAATTCATACACAGTTTGTTTTGTGACATGAATTGTAATCCCCACCATGTAATAGCACTCTTCCTACTTCCTCTTCAGTGTTTATCATTTCCATTCATCCTTCTTGCTTTCTGAGCTTCATCCCTGAGCATATGCTCCCCTATGGATCTCATATGATTGATTGTTCAAAGGAGTCCATATCTCCCTGTTGTTACTTTTCACCTCATAGGCCTGTCTATTGAAATTTAGAAAATTTAAAGCCACTGGAGTTCCAGGCTTGAAGGGTGTCTAAGGGCCATAGCTTCAAAGGTTCCACCATTCTCTATTAGACCAGTAAGCCTATTAGTTTTAATTGTTTTGAGTTTTGTTCTACATTTTTCTCCCACTTTACTAGGATACGGGGTCACTATGAGTCGGAACCAAGTCAAAGGCACTTAACAACAACTATCCAGGATCTCAAATTGTGATCCTTTCAGAGTGACCAGCTGTGGTAGCTGGGTACCACCTAATTCTTTTGGTCTCAGAGTCCTTGAAGTCTAGGTTCATGTGGCCCATTAGTCTGTTGGTTTTTTTTAACTCTACTTTGCTCTGGACAGGGAGAAACCAACAATTACGTCATAGTTGGCTATCAGTGCTGTTTTATAAAATATGACTAAGGCTTCTCTGGCTGAGAGAAGAGACGGGGCTACAGGATAATTTTCTCAGATGTGGATGAGATCATGTATATTCAGGATGGGTGAGTGAGGTTCTCCCTCTGATCTCCTCTCACACTTCTTCCATTCTACAGCAGACCTGTGCAGTCTGTCTAGAAGACTTCAAGGGGAAGGACGAGCTAGGGATGCTCCCATGCCAACATGCCTTTCACCGGAAGTAAGTATCTAATGGGGATATGCACTGAAGGGTCCCTTTTGAAAGAGAAATAGAGCGAGAACATCTTCTAGTACTTCCTAGATTCTACCAGATTCCCTATACCCCTTTACCAGTGAAGCCTTAAATCTTGTCTGGTCTGAGCACACCAAATAAGCTGGGGAGTTAGATCAGGGAAAGGCTACAAATATTTCTTAACGATGATAGACAACTAGAGCATGATGAGGCATAACGCTTTTTTTTTTTGGCCCACAGGTGTCTGGTAAAGTGGCTAGAGGTACGCTGTGTCTGCCCTATGTGTAACAAGCCCATTGCTGGTCCCTCAGAGGCCTCTCAGAGCATTGGAATCCTATTGGATGAACTGGTGTGAGCACTGCCTCTACACCAAGACCTAGAGAAGCTACAGTGATGATCATGCTCACCTTGAAGGGGAGGATGGTGTGAGGTTGGTCTTTGCCCTAGGGTGACTCTAGTGCCAGACCTAGCCTACCTGTCTGCCTCCTGAAGACACCTTCCCTGCTCAGTATCAATGGCATCACCCGACAAGACCATTGCATCCTGGTACTGAACTATCTACTTGCCCATTCCCTGCTCTGGGGAAATAAGCACACCCTTCTCTGGCCAAGAACCTGGAACACTTTTTATAAGCCCTCCTTGGGAGGATAAGTCAGCCTTACCTAGGAAAAGGAATGAGATGGGCTCTGCCCAGTCTGTAACCTCCCCTTCTCTTCTCACGCTTTTCAAAGGAAGGGTTAGAAGGGAAGGAAGGAAAGATCAAGGAACCAAATGCCTACAGTGGAGGTGAGTGGAGCACTGTGTGAAGTAGGGAAGAGCAGGGACATATGAAAGGAAACAGTCAATGTTTACATGAGACCTGTTGAAACAAAGCCTGGCTGGCCGGCTAACTGACAGCAGGGTAATAGGGGACAAACCCCATCATCCCCTGCTAGCATCTGAGGTGCTATCCAATTTCTCTCTTCCTCAGTTAATCTCAGAGCTTCCTGGTTCATGCTGGGGGTTTGAGTGCCCCTCTGGAATAGGGACTTGTTTTACACTCAGATTGATTCCTAGAATTTTTTTCCCCCTTCCTAAAGAAGCAAAAGTGGGCCTGGGGGTGGGGTGTCAGAAAGTTACAGTAAAAGCAGAAACCTTTTTTTTCCTTTGTAAATAGTATTTTTATATGTCATCCTCACCATCTCAGGCTTTATACGTGGAGTCCCCAGAATGAAAGGGGGTGGGGGAACGTTCTGTTCCTTCCCAGAGTGGGTGAGGATGGGGAAAGGGTATGTATTTAAACAAAATTAAATTTAATAACCAGTTTCTCTAACCTCTTTTTGCCTGTGGTTGTGGCCTGTTCCTGTTGGACCTTTACTGCCCATAGAGGGGAAATGTTCACTGTCACTGTCTGCCTCTTCTCACTGCCCTAGACCCAAATCCTGACTAAGCCAGGCTTTTTTTTTTTTTTTTTGAGAAAGTTGATGTTCTCAACCACATATTTTGTTTGACTATGACATGAAATTAATAGAATTGTACTTGTATTAATCAGCAACCTGCTTGAATTACAACTAAAAAGGTTCAGATTGCCATCATAGAAGCTTGGTCTCTTTCCTTACTACTCTTTTCTAAGCTACTTACTAGCTGTGGTAACTGCAAGATAAGCACTGGACTGCTATAACCACAAGATCAGCAGTTCAAACTTACCAGCCACTCCTCAGAACCCCTATATGAGGTCACTATAGTCATGAGAATGGAGCGACTGGGTGGTGCTTGCCCACTACTAGGTGAAATGGCAGTACCAGCAGTCATTCCAGGGAACATGTTCTGGGTGCTGTGCACAAGAGAGGCATTTGGTATAGTGGGTGACTCACAGATGTGCAGGAGATGCCTATGCACCCAGAGGAGCCAGGCCCTGGGAAGGTGATACTCGCCTACACCTATAATTGTGTCAGGGAGGTTAGAGTTCACGCTGGACAGCCCAAAGTGAAGTCATCAGCACTGTCTTGCTGGAGTACCTTGCCCAATTCCTCCTTTCTCTTTACTTCCTTAGCTCCTGCTCCTCCTCTTCCTCAAAGACTGACAGGCCCTGGGTACTGCTGACAGACTTACGGCCTACTACTTTTGTCCATTGGTGAAGCTGTTGCTGCTCACTCTTGCACTGTCAGCGTGCTTTAGTGGAGAACAAAATGCATTCCCTAGAAAATAACAAGCCCTGTGCCTAGCTACGCTGTGGCCTCAATGTGGCTACGTTGTTGGGATGAGATCCACGTAAATGAGTAATTTACGTGGCTGACTTCTCCATCTTCTGCCCTACTACCTCCCCTTCCACTTAAACAAAATTCATCAGTGTTGACATAATTCTGATTAAAACAATGACCCTAACATGTCTATAACCACACATTTGAATGTCAATGTCCTGAAGTCTAAATGGCAGGGTAGAAATGCCTTGTCATCTTTTCAAGGCTTCAGTGTAGTTAGCATAGTCCATGGCGGGGAACACAGAGAAAGCAATGCTTGATATTTTTAGTTTGGCAGAGGTGGATCTGCAGGAGCTAAGCAGAAATTAAACAATCACTCATCTCAAGTTATTGAAAATACTGCGGCCTGGGTCAGGTACCCTTTAGTCCTCAAACTGACATCTTTGCTCTTGAACACTTTAAAGATGTCTTGTGCTGCAATATATTGTTTGATTACTTGACTGTTGCTTTCATGAGTGTTGACGTTGGATCTAAGCAAAGTGAAGTCATTGACAGCTTCAATCTTTCCTCCATTTATCATGATGTTATTTATTGGTCCATTGGTGAGGAATTGTTTCCTTACCTTCAGGTGCAGCCTATACCAAAGGTTGTAGTATTTGATCTTCATCAGTATTTTAAGTCCTTTGTTTTCAGCAAGCAAGGTTGTATCATTTGCATATCACAGGTTGTTAATGAGTCTCCAATCCTGATGCCATGTTTTGAATAACTGCCTCTAGGTCTGTGTACAAATTCCTCATGAGCTCAATTAAGTATTCCAAAATAACTCATTCTCCACAATGTTGTTCATAGTTGGTCATGATCTACATGGTTGAGAAAGCCTTTACATAGTCAATAAAGCACAGGAAAACAGCTTTTGGGTATTCTCTGCTTTCAGCCACGAACCATCTGATGTCAACAGTGATATCTCTCATTTCACATCCTCTTCTAACTCTACCTTGAACCACTGGCAGTTCCCTGATGGTGTACTGTTGCAATAAAGAAAGCAGAAGGTCATTAAGAAGGCAAGAAAGAAAAGACAAAAAATGGATGTCAAAAGAGACTCTGAAACTTGCTCTCCAGTATAGAGATGAAATGAGGAAGCAAAAGAAAATTTCAAAGGGCAGCTCAAGAAGACAAAGTTAAATATTATAATGAAATGTTATAGAGATCTGGAGTTTAGAATGCCAAAAAGGAAAACAAGCTCAGCATTTCTCAAGCTGAAAAAACTCAACTTGTAATAATGAAGGATTCTTTTGGGCAAAATATTGAATGATGCAGAAAGAATCAAAACAAGATGGAAGAAATGCACAGAGTCACTGTACCAAAAAGAAATGTCTTGATGATCAACTATTTCAAAAGCCAGTGGTACTGAAGGAAGAATTCCAAGATATACTGAAATCTTTCAACAAACTGATGCAGCATTGGTGGCACTCACTCATCTATGCCAAGAAATTTGGAAGACCACTACCTGGCCCACTGATTGGGAGAGATCCATATTTGTGTCCAACAAATGTGGAAATCATCAGAAAATTATTAATATCACATGCCAGTAAAATTTTGCTAAAGGTCGTTAAAAAATAGCTGCAATCATACAAAGACAGGGAACTATTGAAGTTCCTCCTTGTTAAGTGCTGTCAAGTTGGTTCCGACACATAGAGACCCTATACAGGGTTTCTGAGGAGCAGATGATGAGTTTGAACTGCCAACCTTGTAGTTCAAACCAATCTTGCCAGTTCAGTGCTTATCCTACAGTGTTAAGAGCTGTTGAGTAGGTTCTAACTCAGCAACTCTGCATAGGGTTTCCAAGGAGGAGCTGGTGAGTGTAAACTGCTGATCTTGTGGTTAGCAGTCAAGTTCTTACCCTTTGCGCCACACCAGTAGGGGACTCAAATCACGAAACTTTCAGTTAGTAACTGAAAGTATTAAGCATTTGAAATTAAGACTCCTGAAATTTCTTTAGGGCTTTATAAGAAAAATATCTGGGGAACCTTGGAAAACTGAGCCAATTATTTTCTTCTCTGACCATAAAATAAAAGGCCTGGTATCTACTTCCTAAATAGTCAGCCATTGGAAACCCTGTGCCGTACAGTTCTACTCAACACACAAGGGTGCCATGAGTTGGAATCAACTGGATTGCAATTGGAACTGGTAAAGAATTTTCAGGATTCTTATTAATGAAGTCCCAGGTTCTTGGCACCATATAAAACTAATCTCAGTTGTTGTTGTTAGGTGCCGTCGAGTTGGTACTGACTCAGTGTCCCTATGCACAACTAAACAAAACACTGCCCAATCCTGGCCCAACCTCATGATTGTTGCCACACTTGAGCCCACTGATGTTGCCACTTTGCCAATCCATCTTGCTGGGGGTCTTCCTGGCCCTCCACCTTACCAAACATGACATCCTTCTCCATCGACTGGTCCCTCCTGACAATATGTCTGAAGTATGAGAGGCAAAGTTTGGCCATCTTGGCCTCCAAGGAGCACTCTGGCTGCACTTCTTCCAATACAGATCTGTTGGTTCTTTTAGTAGCCCATGGCACTTTCAATATTCTTCTCCAACACCATAACTCAAAAGTATCAATCCTTCTATGGTCTTCCTTATTCACTGTCCAGCTTTCACATGCATATGAGGGTATTGAAAATACCATGACTTGGATCAGGCACACCTTAGTCCTCAAGCTGACATCTTTGTTGTTCAACACTTTAAAAAGGTCTTGTGCAGCAGATTTGCCTAATGCAATATGTCATTTGATTTCTTGGCTGCTTCCATGAGTGTTGACAGTTAATCCAAGAAGAATGAAGTCTTTGACAACTTCAATATTAATAAATCTTCCTCCAATCCTGATTTTTTTCATATAACCCAGACTCTCAGATTATTTGCTCAGTACACAGGTTGAATAAGTGTGGTGAAAGAATACAACCCTGTGGCACACCTTTCTTCATTGTAAACCATTCAGTGTTCCCATGTTCTCTTCGAACAATTGTCTCTTGGTCCATGTACAGATTCCTCACAAGCACAATTGAGTGTTCCGGGATACTCATACTTCACAATGTTGTCCATAGCTTGTCATAATCCACATAATTGAAAGCCTTTGCATAGTCAATAAAGCACAAGTAAATATCTTCCTGGTATTCTTTACTTTCAGCCAAGATCCATCA